GTATATAATGTAATTTTATAAAACGCTTGGCTTTGAATGTGGATGTTTGATATGGACACTTTTAAATGATGTATTCTCACTGAACACAGAAATGAACAGAGTTGATTTAATTTCTGTTTTATCATAAGTGCATCTGAATGTATGTTTTGCTTGTTTGCTACCTCGTTGTAAATACAGCTGATTAAAACACTTGTGTGATGACTTTAGTAGAAGGAGATGTTAGCATACCAATCACATGCTAACATGAGCAGCAGGGGCAGCAGACTCCTTTTAAACTAATTGTTTTGGAGCCGAGGTTAAGGATGGTTCTACATGTCCTAATGATTCTTTTTTAGCTCGCACTCACCTTACTTTGAGAGTTTTTTTCTACCTTTGTCATATATTCAGACACTGCCTGGTTGCAGCCAGCACTACACTGAATGTTTTGGTCAAACCCAGTGTCTCCTCTGTATATGTCACAGGGTCATGTAATTTTCTGTGTGTTTCACGTCTGTTGTGTTTCCAGTTTTGAGCTGGTGAAGAGCATGCTGCCTGCAGAACATCACAAGGTGCTTGTAAATATCCGCAAGGCTGAGGCACGCACCAAGAGACGGAAACAGGCCGCAGAGCAGCGGGATGACTCGGAGAACGATGAGGAGGCCCCTAAACTAAAGAGTGAAAGGTAGACCATTGTTCCCCACATAAAGCCCTGCGTTCCTCATACATTTACCAGTTTCCTCCCTAAAAACGTCTGTCCCCTCCTCTCAAGTATCGAGGACATCCTTGCGGAGTCAGACAGTGATTTGTCAGAGGATGAAGGAAAGACCAGCAGTGCTCAGAAGAAAACAAGCAAACTGCAGAAGGGACGGGCCTGGCTCAAAGAAGGAGAAGAAGATGACCCACTCAACTTCCTGGATCCCAAGGTTTCTCAGAGAGTGCTAGGTAACAAAGCCCCCTTAATTCTCCCTTTGATAGCTGCTGCCAACTTGCATGTTGATCTGTCAAAATAGATCTTTTTGCTGTGGAGTTAACATGGTTCTTGTTTGTTTCTCAGCGACAAACCCGGCAATGAAAAAGAGTGCCAAGGTTGAGCATGGCTTTAAAGTAACCTCAGATGGACGGCTGATTATTAGAGAAGACGATGGGGAGGACGTAAAAGACAAAGGTAAGAAGAAGAAGAATCTTGTTCTGTTCTGTGCATTGTTTTATGTCTGAACAGGCTAAATGACCCATCCTTCATCCTGCAGATGAAGGAGAGATGAAAGATATTCTAGAAGAGGCTGGAGTCACGAGTGTGAGTACTTTAATATGTAACATTAATATGTAGCTTTTTTTTATTGCTGTCATTAATTATAAATCTACGTATTTTAAATTATTCTCAGAAAAAGTCACAGAAAAGGAAGTTCCAAGATGACTTTGACGAGGACATGGACATTGGACCCCAGTTAAAATATAAAGGTATGATTGGTACCAAACATGATATATAACTATGCACCCTGTAAATATGTTTTGCTAGTGAGCAAAGCATCATGCTGCTGACATGTTCACCTCTGAGGAACTGTGATTCAAACTGGGCAACACTTTCTCATTCAGCTGGAGGCTCCGGTATCCACAGACCCCTTGGAGGCAGGCAAGACATTGGAGTTGATTACAAGTCAAAGGTGAGTCCGGCAGCATGCAGACCGGGGTTAGATGTGTGGATTAGAATCTGTGATTTTGAGTCTGTCTTCTTTCACCTTTTGTTTCTCAGAAAGGAAAAGGAGATGTGAAGAAAAAAGGAAAGCTTGATCCTTATGCTTACATCCCTCTGAAGAAGGCGCAGCTCAATCGCAGGTATGAGCAACGCTCCAAACATCTGACAACTGATTTCTATAAAAATGTCACAAGCTATCATGTTATGTTCTTTCTGTGTTCACAGAAAACGCGCCAAACTGCAAGGCCAGTTCAAGGGCATGGTAAGAGGAGCCCAGAAGGGGGCGCTCTCTGGAAAGAAAATGCAGAAGAAAAAGAGGAAGTAGTGAAGGACATATCAGTTCTCGGACTTTTTAAATGAGTTCTGTGTGATGGCTTGTTCAAAAACATCCAAAAAATGTGAACCTACATTTGGGATGTGTGTGTGTTTATGACAGACCGACATGGAAGATGACACCAGTTTGTTTTTAAACTGTGCCGTCTTTAAAAGTTCTGGAAACGCTCCCGTTGATGTCATACAGTCAGTAGTAATTGTGTGGGCATGGCAAATATGTTGAATGTCGGTGTGTACTGACTGACCAAATGCTGAATCATTTGGCTGTCAAATAAATCATTCGGTTGTAATTTTTTGTGTTTGTATTCGATAAAGCTCCACTTCTGATAAACATTTCAGTATTTATGTGTAGAAGTAGAGTGGCATTAAGACTCATGGGGAAAATAATGCGTATGTTATTGCATTAATCTGTCTCTTGAGGGCACACTAGACTTTATTAACCATGAATGAAGTCATTCATGGATGCTTCTAAGATTAAATATATCAAAACTGCTTTTAGGCTGAAAAGTAAAAAAGCCACTTTTCCACTGTTGTCTCCATTTAAGAGTTTCAACAAGGTGCCTTCAATGTAGCTTCCAGACCTTGAGAGAGAAACATATAGGTTGTTGTAGTGCAAGACTGTGAGTCAGTTCCCCAGGAGGATTGCATCAAAGTGAATCACATTGTGTTAGACTGACCTCCTATTTCCACTCTGAGGTCAGTGCTTCTGAGAAGAGGACCGATTCAGGACATCACATTGGAACTCGTCAGCCTTATGGTTTACTGAATGTGTACTTAGTCACTTCAAAAAGCATCGACACCCTCACAGTCTGCTTTATCTTGGTAGTCATTTTATTTAAAACTATTTATTTTTTATACTATGCATAATGACCCATAATGAAGTGTTTTCAGAAATGTGGTTTGAATTTGTTCCAGAGCCACGGTGAGTGCACTGCTGGAGCATTACATTACTTTATATGGGAGAAAAGTAAAAATATATCAGAGCAGGGATGAGTTGGAGTTCTGCAGGCTGCCATTATAAATGCCAGGGAAAGATTAGTGTCCCGACAGCAGCGGAGGTGTAATTAGCTTAATTACAGAATGTTGCTTACAAAAGGAACAAACCAAATATTGAATCTTACAAAATCTAATTAACAATCAAATATCTTGTACTGACCCCGAGGCGATGAATCCTCAAGTTTAACTCAGCAAAAAAAGGCCTCTTAAAATACTGAGATAGCTTTTTAACACTTTTAATAATGATGAAAGAAATCGCTTCCAGGCAACATGTAAAAAATATTTTGTTTATTGAAGATGGTCACAAAAGGTTGTTAAGAAATAATGCAAATGATAATTTCAGTCAGTAAATAAAAATATACAGGAGAGCCCTGAAGGTTGAAATTTCTGATGAAACTCACTTTAATATGATCACAAATGCATCCGTGCCATGCCACAATGCTTCCTTATGGTTTATCCACCGCCGTCAAACATTTGAAAACCAAGGAATCCACCTGATACCAAATAGTAAACAAATGCAGACAGGGCCTGTATTAAAATAAATTAAATCTGGACAAACTGCCCTGCAGTTGCAATAAGATCACTGGACTTTTACACTAAATTTTAACTAGAATGTAGACAAAAGTTTCTTTAGTTGAAAGGGTAAGCAATGCATCAGTCTGATTCGTAGCAACCTCGGATATTGTACAATTAAAAACAAAGCCGTCATAATCAACATTACTATCATCTTTCACCACGTCCTCGCTCGACATTATGTTCTCCAAACCCAAAGAAAACAAATGTACTAATAATCACCACCCCTACACAAGCTACTGTAACATTCAACAACACATAATTTCCTCTTTGAGTTTCCAGGATTGCACTTACTCATACCACTTACATCATCATGACCTCTAATACTTTACATGCAGGCTTAATCAAGTAACCACCTGCTCATTTTTCAATTGTGTCTTTTTCTTTTATTTATTTATTTTTATAAAAATGTTACCTTTGTTGAAACTCAGTAGCTGATAAATATTTTTTTTGCTGTCCAGCAACAAAGCCCAGAGCTTTAATCAGAGCTCTCGGCTTAAAAGATTCTGCATCTCTGTGCTGTCTCTGGATCTTTGGGGCAAAAGGAGAACTTTTTTTTTAATGGAATGAGTTGATATATCAGGAGGCCCCTTTAGCATCAGAGCCTGGGTGGAGGTCGACATGGCGGGGGCCCTGGTGGCCCCAAGGGAACCCGAGTTGGGGCCGGACCTGGAGGGGGTTGGACCATGGACGGGGGTGCACGAGAGGGTGGTGCGGTGCGGGGCCCTCTTGATGGAGGCTTTGTTCGGGGGACAGAGTTTGAGACCAAAGGTCTCTGTTCTGTGAGAAGAGGAGCAGGAGGAGGAGGAGGTGAGGGAGGGCGATGTGTGCGAGGAGGAGCCTGGTTGTTTGGGGTGGACTCTCCAACTTCGACCCGTTGGAAATGAATACAGCGGCCCTGCAAGATGCAAAAGATTGGAGTATGAGTACACATCATCATTTCAAGGCAGTACAAAGTAAATGCAGTGTGTCTTTGTGCAAAATCAATGAGTTTCTAAGATCCCTCAACCAAAGTGGTTAGTTTGGGTCTTTGCCCAGTTTGGCTGACAGAGGCATGTGTGTTTTAGGCGTCGGAGGATGCACAGAGCTGTTTCTGTCTTCTGTCCACACCTGCACTACAATAGCTGTGATGCTAGAAAAGACATAGACACACAAACACACACATGCACTTATGCGGTGTGCAGCTTTACCCCATTTCCTTTCTCTTCTATAGGAGCCTTTGCTGTGACTTTCATGATGCAGAACATAAAGTGGTTTATGTCTCTTATGTGCTTGACTTTTTTGGAATCTAAAGGGGGGCTTTCAATATCACCACAACAGTTAACAGTGGCCTCTTTAAATTAAGGGAACACTTAAATCACACATTGGTTCTTAATAAATGAAATATTCAAGTTGAAAACCTTTACTAATGTACAGTGTATAATTGGTTAGAACAAAATGGCATAAACCAAAGTCATCCAACCATGGAGGGCTGTATTCAAAATCACACAGAAAATCAAACTGAGACATTGAAATCACAGGCTCATCCAAGTTGCATGAATTTCATTATGGCAACTCATCATGTATGAGTATGCACGAGCCTGTATGCACTCACAACATCTGGGCATGCCCCTTATGAGTCGGTGGATGGAGGATCTCCTCCCAGACCTGGATCAGGGCATCAGTGGGCTCCTGGACAGTCTGTGGTGGTACTTGGTGGTGTTGGATGCACCAATACATAATGTCTCAAAGGTGCTCAGTTGGATTTAGGTCAGTCAGTGGCATCAATGCCTTTGTCATCCAGGAACTGCCTAGACACTCTGGTCACATGAGGCCAGGCATTGTCCTGCACCAGGAGGAACCCAGGGCCCACTGCACCCAGTGTAAGGTCTGACAGTCACTCTGAGGATTTCATCCTGGTACCACTGGCTATGACATGAAGGTCTGTGCGGCCTTCTAAGAATATGCACATCCCACCACCAAACCGGTCATGCTTCATGATGTTACAGGCAGCATAATGTTCTCCACGGCGTCTCCAGAGTGTTTCATGCCTGTCACATGTGCTCAGTGTGAACCTGCTCTCTTCTGTGGAACTGGATGCCAGTGGCAGACCTGCCATTTCTGGTGTTCTCTTGAGAATGCCAGTCGAGCTGAACAGGTCATCCTAGAGGATGTCAGACCCTCACGCTGCCCTCATGGAGTCTGTGTCTGACAGTTTGGTCAGACACATGCAACCAGTAGCTGCTGGAGGTCATTTAGTAAAGGTAGGGCTCTGCTCTGTTCAGCTATCCTTATATAACAGCTGGTCTACTGGTATCTCCTCCATGGTCTTGAGACTGTGCTGGGAGACAACAAACTTTCTTGCAACTGCATGTATGGATGTGCCATCTTGGAGAAACTGGACTACCTGTGCAACCTGACTGAGCTGCAGGTACTGCCTCATGCTACCAGTAGTGACAAGGACACTAGCAAAAAGCTTGAAAAGAATCAGTCAGGAATGATAAGGAGAGAGCATGTGTCTGTGGCCACCGCATGCAAAACCATTCCCTTTTTGGGGAGTGTCTTGCTTTGGCCTCTCCATTGCACCTGTTGTCACTTTCATTTACACCAAAGCAGGTGAAACTGATTTACAATCACTTGTGCTTCCTAAATGCACAGATTGAAGTTTAACTGACTTAGTGTTGTACTGTGGTGATTAAATGTTCCTGTATGTAATGTAATTTTTTTGAGCAGTGTATAATTTACAAGTTGCTGAGAATGGATCGCTTCTCTTATTGTTCTCAGTGATGGCTGCCCTCTCTTCACCCTCTCTGTTCCTGACATAGCATCCTTCTGCAGACAGACAAACACACACATTTGTCTTGCTCAGACAGTGTGTGAAGGATGGAGAGAAGGTCTCTGTGTTACAGACCCTTGGTGGTCTGATTATAACACCTTATTAAACAGAGAGGCCCTAAAGTCACACAGGGGCCATTAAAGGACCCCAGCAGCAGTAGCTTTGTGACCAAAGGGGCCAAAGGGTGTGTGTGTGTATAAGAGGTGTGCGTAATTGATTGGGGGTAGACTGGTTGGGGGGGTGACTGTTTAGGACTTGTCGCTGGGCAGCGGTAAAAAGGCCAGTTTGTGAGCAGCAGCACAGCACCAGAGAGAGCATATGGACACAATGAGAACACAAGCTCATGAATGTGTGTGTGTGTGTGTGTGTGTAACTATAAGCATGCCTCCACCAGAACATATGGCCTGAATGAAACCTCAGCCAAAAATCACGAGCTTGGTTTTGAAAAAAACACCAGGAAAGTGGCAAAAAGAGGAGATTTTTCTTCTTTCGAGTAAAAGTTATATACACAAACAGAGCAATGTGTCACTTGTGATGACATATTGCTCTGTGTCTCTTTGGCTGTAATTCCTGTCACTGCTTTACTTTCCCTCTTAGCGGTTGTTTACTCCGCCCTCAGCTCCTTTTTAGGGGAAAAACAAAACCCTTAAACACCTCCAGCATTCCTCTTCACACCACTCCTCTGTCTAGCCTCTGTTTCTCATTCTCAGCCCCAAGATTGTGCCCTTCCCTCACAAAACACACATAAATTCAATGCATTTAAAGTGAACATTATTGAAATTGAACAGTAACATGTATTTCCAGAGTCACTTACACTGAATCAGTATGTTCCAAATGTGTTTATTTGAACAGGCGATGAACTGGAACTTGATAAATAATGTTAATTAATGGAAGTTTTGATAGTTTTTTCATACAAACACCACTACAATCAACTACTGCTTGGAGTGATTGTTGGTTTTAGTTATCTATTGCAACTTTGTTCCATCGTATTGTGGCGGTGGCAGAAATTCGACAGAGACATATCACAATCTTAGTGAAAGTAACACACTCTGTAAGGCTAGTATTGCTAAAGGTATGTGAGAAAATATGTTTTTGGTGTAAATTTCAGGAAGTGAATCTTTTAACTGTTGGAGGAAAACAGAAGAGGTTGAAGAAGGGGAGGCGCTATTGCGCTCATTTGTGTTGTCTGTGTGTGAGGATGGAGGGACGGTCTGTGTTGTGCTGTGTGACGGGGCCATCCGTGCCATCAGCTCCAGGGACAAAAGAAGGGAATCTCTTCTGTCACAATATGACTCGTGGCCTTTCAACTCCCCATCTGTTTGTGTGACACACATTACAGTGCCACACACATGCACACACACATACAGCAACAACAAATGAAATGCAAAAGGGGAGCGTGGCAGAAACTGGCAGCCTGCTGATGGCCGTTTGTAGAGGCAGTGAAGTAGGAGTAATGAGGGGAGAAAGCAGCATGAGCTCTTCCTGAGCTGCTGGTTAACAATCCACATAAGAGGTTTGATCCATGCTACTTGCTTTTTGCCACCTTGTTTGGCTCTTTGGCTTTTTCACTGATGAGAAATCATTGTCCTTCATGTCTGATATAGCGATCAGCCATAATTCTTAACTAACTTTCTTGCAACAAAAGTGGATTTTTCCCCCTCGTTTCTTTGCATGTGAGAAGAAGCATTTTATTTTCCTCAGTTAATGGTGCGTAAAGGGAGTTGTGAGGGTTATTGTCGAGTGGCTCTGTGAACAACCCCACAGAAAGTGTTTGACAAAGACTCTAGGAACTTTTGCTCTGACAGAGATTAATTGTTCCCCTTTAGAAAACGAGTCCCAGATGGAAAGAAGGGATAAAACCATTGGCGACGATCGCTTTTATAGACATCAGACATATTAGACACACACTCACACTGTTACATAGTAAATATGAATCATGCCATTCATCAAATCAATACATTTTACAGTGATGTGGCTTCAGTTAAGTAACAATGAACCCATTTAGAACGGAGCAGATGTTTCACCATGACAACCAGTATATTGATGAAACCATGTCTGTGGGGTTATGGGATGCAATACACAGGGTCAAGGTTAGATAACGGGGGCTGCTCTGCTCTTCTTTATTCTTTCACACATGCTTGTCATGTCACAGTGATGTCATGACTTAGGACTTTTCTAAAGCAGCAGTAGTGAAACCTAGCACACACAATCTGTCTGACACAGTAGCTTTTTTTTACTGTAATTATCACTTACAAGTAGAGACTAACATGCTATTTGGAAATGTGGTAGAAACCCAGTCATTTTTAGGAGTCACAGGGAAGAGTACAGAGGAGTACTGTACTTCTTATGTGTGAACAATGCCAGCTTTGACTAAGAGTCCGGTATCAGTAGCTCATTGACTCACTGAGTGGTGTGTGTCAGTGAACATCCAGTGAGCTACTGTGTTGTGCTATATGTATTGTGCTATACATTGTGCTCGCTGACACGTTGTCTTCATGCAGTTTGCCTGACAGCGAGAAGGATGCAGCGGGTCACAACCGAGACAGCAAACACTTGTTATGAAAAAGGTACCCACAGAGCAATCCCCTAAATTACACAGAATTACCAAATTATAGGTCTGTATCAGTGATTATGGCTGCCAGCGGTATATCGGACTTTCTAGTCCTGTTTTAAATGAAGATAAAAATAAAATGTGATTGAGAGGCAGGCTTACCTGGTCTCCAGGCTGTGGTCTCATCAGAGATACCTGGTCGTAACCTCTCCTGAACAGAGCCCACAGAGCATCTAACTTCCCCTGGAGGAAACAAAGATTATGCAAAAATATATTTTGAAGTAAGAGTTTCAGAAAAAAAAAAAATACAATCTTAAATATACATTTCACTTCTTAAGGCAACTACATAAACACAAACCTTAATGGGTGTGTACCACCTCCTCTGCTGTGGGGGGCGGCGGGGTGGTTTTCGAGGTTTGGGCTCGTAAGGTTCAAATTCCTGCTCTGGCATCTTTACAACTGCGTTTTTAGGTTTGTCCAACTTAGCACCCTCCTCAGTGGATCCCTTCTCCCCCCATCGGACCTAGTAAAGGTATAAAAATCATAAAACATTTATTCTTTTAAGTGCTGCAAATGTTGACTGTTGAGACTAAATGTGTACCTCCATGCGTTTGATGCCGCCCACTCCTCTTCCTCCATAGTAGGATGCATCCACTGTGGGCCACCTCTTCTTTGGCATCCCATCATCATCATCATCCGAGTCCTGTGAGTGAGACCTCAAATATGACATCTCTCATATACTTGCTATTAACAGTAGAAATATGTAATACTATTTATGGATCTATGATTAGAATGAGTAGTAACAATAAAGAATCAGTTCAGGTTCATGTCAATGGTGACTTACTGGCTCTGGAGGAGGAGGTGGTGGAGGTTCTTTAATCACCTAATGATGAAAACAAATCAGTATGTCACAAATACATTTTAATATGCCCCCAAGCTGAAATACTTCAGCACAGCCTGGTTCCAAACCCCTGAATCATCACTCACATCTCACATTTGTTCCGAAATTCAAATAGAATGAGGTGAAATGAAATTGCATTTAAGTCTGATTATCAAGCTGAAACACTAATATCATAATTTCAAGTGCAAACTTACCACAGTGCAGCACAGAGGCCAGAACCACCACATCAGCAGCAGAGCCAACAGCAAGAACACGACCAGCAGTGATATTAGCACGATGGTGCCATCAAACTACAACATGAAATGACAGGATTAAGATGAAACTGAACTCAAAGACAGCAACTGAGAAACGGGTGAAAATGGAAAGCAAACGTACTCACAGCCTCCTCTGATGACAGATGCAACAGAGGAGACCTCAGAGAGGAAGTAGAGAAGAAGAAGACTAGAGAACCAAGACAAAATAAGAAGGTTAAAAGAAAGTTTATTAAAATAAGGTTGGTGGTGCAGGATGTACTCACGCATTCAGTAGTAGTAATGTGAACAGAGCTGGTGATGTAGGAGAGCCCCTGGTTCATGCTCACCTGCAGGTAGATCACCCTGCAAAACACAGAGTCATGACTGAGCTGATCACTGACACAGAAATGTTCACATAACACACACACACACACTTGTGTGCACAGATTCTTAGCCTTGTTTTGGCTACTGCAGATGCTCCCCAGAGGTGTCGAATACATTTTTTTCATGTACTCTGTTCATACATGCAGCCTTATAGGCACAGAAACATGCTGACATAGACACAAAGCCAAAGTCTTTAAAGAGGTCAGGCGTTCTCCACCCACAGAAAGAATCTGTAATATGTAGACAGCTAAAATGACTTCTCCAGTAGTCAGTGCTGATATCTAAGGAATAGGCAGGAACAAGAAATCAGGGCGGGGGGGGGGGGGCTTTTATATTTTTTGGTTGGGAGGGTGACAGGATAGTGTTGCAAGCAATAAACACTAGCATATTCCAGGACTGAGAGGTTGTGAAACAGACAGTGGAGTAGTCACTGTAGTTGGCAGGTCACTCAGAAAACATTATGTGTCAGTCAAATAGGTTGGTGGGGGCAGAGACATCGGACAGCTGCACTGGAGTTTACAGTTTCAGGAAAACAATGGAGAAAGACTTCTTTTGCTGTTCTTTATAGTTCAGGAAGGCAGACAAGCAGGACATTGAGCTTTAGGTTTAGATTTAACGAGGTGACAACAAGGGAGAGGTCACTGCAGGGTGGGGGTGGGGGGTGGAAGAGAGGAAATAGAGAGTGGGGGGATGGTGGAAGAAGGGCCTTTCCTGTTCTACATCCCCTCAGCACCGCCCCCCCGTATCCTCTCTATAGCTTGTCTCATAGCTCATGCGTGCACTGACTTCAGAGTATAAACTGGTGGAGCAGGTGCCACTCATCTTTTCATCATATGGTCGGCACTCCTTTGAGGCAGACAGGGGACACTGTGCTACCATCTCTGACAGAGACAACTCAGCCCCTATCAGTCATCACTCTGTTCACTATACAGTATATGTCTTTGCCCTGTGTATGTGTGTGTGCAGCAGGGGAAGCTGCATCAGAAGGTTCCCAGTCAACATAGATTTGTGTGACGCCAGTGTCAGTGATTTCATTATGTGCAAAAAGGAAAAAGGCTCGGGCAGAGCAGTAGGTGAGTGAGGATCTTTGGGGTTTGTGTGAAGAAGTGAACCTGGGAGCTAAAGTCCCTAAAACCTTATGTAGAGATGCACAACCCCAGAACAGGAAGTAGTTAATCACAGTATAATGTGATCTGGCATGAAAGGGACATTTTTAGGGCTACAGCTAATGACTATTTACATTATTGATTGGCTATTAATGGAATAAATTAGTGGAAAAAACAGCTTTTCAATCCATATTAGGGGGTAATCTTTCTACTTCATGGTGTTTGGGGGGGTCTGCTTTCTTTCTAGCTACATGGCTATCAGATTTTATTGAGAGGAATACAACACACTATTTTGAAACACAACAGTACACAAAGAATAAATGTGAACCACGGACACCTGTCCAGTGTTCACAGCAGCACTCTCGCCTCATTACATACAGTATTTCCACATTTTATTTGTGTGTTATTGCTTCACAGCTCATCAGCCAGCTGCTGGCCTCCTCTCTGGGCCCTTCAGCCATTCACAGCTGACTTCCTCTTTAGTAGCACTCAGGGTGTTGGGCACTGCTGACTCTGCGCTAATAGGCTCTTGTTACATGGAAGGATGCCTCCTTCAGGCACCACTGTAGTATGTAATGATGCTCCTTCCTCTCCTCTCTAAGGAGGAGCAGCCCAACCTGGCACAAGCCACAACTATCAGACACAAACACAGGCGGTGAACCAGATATTTCCTGGATTGTGTAATTTGTGAATGCATTGATTTTGGCTGTAATAACTGTTATGTTCTGTCATTATGTCAAGCCCCAAACAGTTATCTACCAGTTATATGTGACTGTTATCATAAGGTGTGAATAAAATATACTGTGCTGTGACAAACTCTTAAATCTTCTTGTAGCTATTAAAACAAGATTCCTTTTTTCCTGATCTCTCAGCAGTACTTCCCCATCAAAGCAGCAGACAAGAGAAGCTCAAATCAGGATAAAAATCTGAGTGACAGCAACAAGACAGATGATGACTGGGAGGTGTCTGAGGCCGCAAGCTGGAGTGTATAATTATACACAGGACTGCAAGCGATATGGATGAGAAGGCTGCTGGGCCTCAGTCCTCTCTGATGCCCACAGCATCGCTCTGTGTGCCTCACAAGAAATGTCTGAAAGCTGAAAGCCCTCAGAGGAAACTTTACACTGCCCGACTGACTTCACTCACACTTTACTTCTCCCAATGTGTCAGAAAGAGATTGGAATACATTAATACACACACATACACAGACACATACAGGGTTGCGAAGGTCCTCTCCAGTAGGCTCTCATTAAGTTGTGTTCCTGGGCTCTACTCCTGTTGTTCTCTTGTGATTGGTGTCTGGCTTCGTTAGCTGTGACAAACACTGATTGATCACAGACACTCAATGACTTTGGCCCTAATTTGTTCAAGGACAGGAGTGTTCTGCATCCACACCAAACTTATGTGCAGCTGGTAAATAGCTAGGCTCGGAGTGTTACGCGGAGAGTTTGGCAGCTGGATTGACAGTTAAGACGTAGTGTAGGGGTGAAAAGGAGGTGAAGCCAAAAGAGATATGCGACTTACCGCCCCACCTCCTCTACAACAGGAGCAGGACAGAGCAGGAAGGTATCATCTATTCCATTTGGTCTCTCATCTGCACAGAGAAAAACAAATCCACATTTTATGAAGGACAAATCTAAACATCTGCAACCCAAACATGGTTCTCACATTCTTCCTTAAATGAACAAGCCAAGTCAGAATCCTATGACGCATTAATGCTGTACAGTCCCTTGAGGCAAAATTGAGATTTGTGATATTGTGTGACTTGATTAAAGTGCATTAAAGTGTGTTAGTACGTGTAGACATTCTGTTCTGATCATTTTTAAAATTGATTGAGTTGTCTAGTAGAGACTAAATACAAGCAGAGAGTCTTATGTAAAAAAAATTCATCTGTAAGAGTCAAAAACATTTTACCTTGTTACTTATTATATTTACTGTACTATAACATAAATTCTTCTTTTCATTCTTTTCAAAATGTGCCCTGTTCTTCTGCATGTATATGTGTCTGTGTACATGCTCACATACTTGTATACAACTGCAGAACGTACCCACAGTGTATGTATCATTCAGTTTGAAGCTGCAGAGAACCTGGTCAATGTTTCTGGCATGGAGAAAACCATTACCTCTCACCACCACCTGGAAACTCTCTGAGACATAAACAAGAGCAGCACACTCATGCATAACAATGGTTAAGACATAGTTTCAGCTCTATGTGAAAGATGTAAAAACTGGGCTGAACTTTGGCTTCAAGTGACAAAGTTCTAGTGTGTCTTTATGGTGAGTGCTCACAGCCATTCCCTTTCTTTGACTTGAGCAGTAGAAACTTGTTCATGCCTCATTGCAGCTTATTTATATATGTGTGTGCCTGTGCACGTATGTGTGGAAAGGCCATAATATGCTCCAGTGGTGCTAATGCTAAAAGTGTTGATACTCGGAAATATCTTATTGTAGGCAGGAGGCGTGTATGTGTGTGACCTTTAACTTCCCCCAGGCACTGATAAAGTGCACTGACAAAGGCTTGTCAGCATATGCTGGAGTGTCTATGTGGCTGCTACCCAGCATGTTAGAGAGTGGGAAAAAACACTTCCTTAAAACACGCCCGCAGGTATGACAACAGCACAGCACTGTCAAAGTAGGTCTGACCTTACCTATGGCACCGTGGCATGGCAATGGCACATATGTGTGTCTGCATACAGATGTGTACGTGAGGATACATGTGTAACTTGCAGATACAGTATGTGTTCACTGCCCCCCTTTTTCCTGAGGAACATGCATGCACATACATGCATGAATATGTACTGGCATATGTTTGAACGTGTGGCTGTGCACTGAGGTTTCCTTTGGCATTATTCTGTCTAATAAAAGCGAACATTTGCCACACCTTTAACACTTAAAGCTCCAGCGTGAAGATCACTGGATAAAAACATCACAGGGTACGGGTATATAGGTTACACTCCCTCCTTAAATAAATAAATACAGATACAAAAACAAAGGCATGGCTGGGTGGAGGAAAAAAATAATCATTTAACAGATTTCTACATGTTTACAGATGCTGCAAAAATGTTGAAAAGTGCGATTAGAGGAAATCCAAGAGGGAACTGGTGATGTACAAGACAGATGGAAATTAAAAATGAGCTGTTACAGAACATGTATAAGTTATATTACCTATATGATACAGATATTACACATTCCACTTTTGCTTGTATAGCACTACAGTTAATGAGAGGGCTTAACATTAATTATTCCCACTGCTCGGTGTCTTGATGGCTCTGGCAGTCATCCCCCTTTCATACAATGTTACCATCAAATACTGTAGCTTGAGCTGCACAGTGACAGGGTTCATGTGCACACACAACTTGAACATAGTACATGTTACTCTGATTATGACTGCTGCTACTGTCCTACACATGTAAAAGTAAAAAAATATAGAAAACTGATTAGTGGCTTTATTTATGAGCAATTAAAGAGTGCATGGAACTGCATCACTTACTTTAACTAAAAGATGTAAAAGTTTATTTATCAGAGCAGGAGCTTGTTTTTTAAAAATTGAATATGAATCATCTGTAATTTTCAGACATTTAGAGCATTTTGTGTTATCGCATTTGATTGGTTTCCAAAGATGTTTTAAATCTTAAAAAATCAGTGGTGGCTTTTAGCTTAGAAAGGCCTCAATCTGAGAATTTTTACACACCCTGACACACACACACACACACACACACACACACACACACAGACACTGAGGCTTGATGTGCTAAAAGGTCAGTGCTGTCAGACACATGGTCGGCAAGGACTGGTGGTGCGTGTACATGTACAACACATATGCTGCTGCCCTTTCCTCTTTGCTTTCTGCCTGCCTCTGTGGCTAAGTCTGTTTACATCTACACCTGAGCACTGGACACGGATTTGATTTGTGTGTGACTATATACATGTACATGCATGTGAATGTGTTTTGTGTGTGTGGAAAAAAAATGGGGTGCAGCTTGTCCGAACAGCAGCTCTTCAATCACATTAGTGTGACGGGACAGTGAAGGACAGGGAGAGGCAAAGGTCACATTAGTGTGACGGGACAGTGAAGGGCAGGGAGAGGCAAAGGACGGGACAATGGGGAGGAAAGGGTCAGACGTTAATGAAAGCAGCAATCTTTGCTGTCATGTTAGATCTAAGGCCCAGCGCTCACTGTCCTCTCGGTGTGTGCGTGATGGTGTATATGTGTGTGTCTGTGTGTGTGTGGGGTGGGGGGGTCACTGCTGTCATGTCCGATAGTGAGACCCAAAGTTCACTGTCCAGTCTGATGGCCTGTTTGCAGGCAGCTGAGTCTGGTCGCTTCACGTCAATGTGAAGGACATGTGTGTATATGTACTTGAAGATGTGTGTGTATGTGCGTGCACACTGACTGTAAAATGTCTGAACAAGTTGGTGTATAACATCCATGGTATGTGACTATATACAGGCAGAGAGAAAGACTGTGTCATTCTGCTAAATGATGACAAGTGCTTGACAATGACATGATTTCACATCACATTCTCTCTGCAGTACAATTTAAAATGTCACATTCATAATAAAAGGATGGAAGCACTGGAAGTCTAAGATAATTGTTGTGTATGTGTTCAGCACATTATAATCTTTGCCCTTCATTAAGTAGGCCAGAATCAAGCCTTGCTTGAAGTGGTTCCTTGGTTTCTTAGTTCACTGACCATTAAGCTGCTCATCAATCGAATAACAAATGAGGCTGTTGCAGGATATTGGTCCACATGGCCAGTGACACACTGAGGATCTGGCCTTTTAGGGCAAAATTGCTGCTTCTTTCTTTTGCTCCTTTCAAACCACTTCCCATTCCCCATATCCCATAATGGATGTAAATCTATGTCAGCTGTCCTGGCAGCACGGCTGCAAATGCACTCTTAAGTGAATTCTAATAAGGTCATGTCAAAGCTCATCCATCCTGCTACGTATCTGCCTCTTGCTACCTTAAACTGCTTTCCAGAAGCAGAAGACCTGCACATGGAGAGAAAAGGAGCAGACAGGGTTGAAACAGACCGAACAGCTATTTAACATATACAATGTGGCAAACTAGGCCAGAGAAGCAGCCATGCTTAAAGACTCACAACTAATTCCTCTGACCAACACCCCCCACCTTCCTCTCTTTTGCACACATGCTGTGCTGAAGCGGCTATGCTAATTTCCCCCGGCTGTGGATGACAATACGCTCTCTGTCACTCTGCTGTCATAAGCGTCCATGCGATTACCCAACCTCATGTTCCGCTCCAGAGGGTTTAGATGGCTGTTGTCTGGCACAGTGGCCCACCATGGCCGCCCAATGTCTTAACAAGGAGGGGAAACTCTTGCCCCTCGCACGTCTTACCTCCTGCACACACAGTGGACGGCTCTGCTGCTAGAATCTCAATACAGGACTTCTTGATGATCTGAGAGATTAGAAACAAACAAACACAAAAACAGCTTGAACATTGCTCAATAACATAATATGATTTTTTGTCTCTCTCTGTGGGTGAATGTTTGTATGAATATACATGTGGTATGTGTGTGTCATACCGAGTCAATAATTCCCCTGAGTGCTTGGAAGCCTCCCCATACAGGAAACACATGTTCCAAAGTATCTGCAATTGTTGCAAGCTAGAAAAACATAAGTACACAAAAAGAAACAAATGTATTTGTTTTAAATGCTTTTGCAACATCATCCTTATTATTTTACCGTGGATTCTACCTGGGTCTGGTTGAATTCTTTGACTCCTACACAGTAAACAATGGCTCCCATAGACCTGGCTCTCTGCGCCTGCAAGGAAAAAAACAAAACAAACTAACTAACTAAAATGCAGTGAAGAGAGACTCTGGAAAGCTTATGGAGTCAAATACCTCTCCCAGAAACAGATGGGTCATATTTCTTAAATACTAATCACTAATGACACATCTTACCTCCCGCTGAGCTGTATCAAACTGCCACTCATTCAGTTCTCCATCAGTCAGAGCAATGATAACACTTGCTGTCCCTGCAGAGTACACAACTTTCATGTTTAAAAAAAAAAGTTGCAGCCTAATGTGATAAGCATATAAGACAGAGCTTACCATATTTCTCTCGATATATCTGCTCATTAGCCTGCAATTGCAAAGAAGACAATTTTAGACAATCATAAATTATAGCATGTTGCTACTGCTATAAAGTCAATCTCACTTTGCTCAGTGTGATTTGTAAAGGTCATTATGAATTACCTTGGGGCTTGTCACTGGCCACATGTCACTTTGCTTAAGAGTTTCAACCATGGCTATCATCCGGAAATGTTAAATCTTTAACCACCAAACATGCTTCTGATCGATTTGAAAACAAGAACCAGACCATGTGGTTGTGTGGAACCATTCAGTGCCTCACTTGTTCAGAAAGCTCAGCAGTTTCAAGAAGCAGCAAGTTTGTCATGATCTGAGCTGCTCCTTGCACTTATGTAATTACTTCATAAAAAAATCTTAGAGTGATGACTAAGCTTGTGTGAATTGGGCTGGCTTTGCTAATGATTTGGGTCCTTAAACCCAGCCTTACCATCTCCAGGCCTAAGTTCATAAAGGTGTCGCCTCCAGGGATAACCTTTCTCAGAGCCATTAAGCCTCCAGTGATGGCCTCCCTGTAGGGTAAACAGACAGCCTGGTAAAATACACCGGAAGAAAGCTGTTCCTAGTAAAAGAGACTTAGAAATATCCCCATTACAGTACATACAAGAGAATGGTTTGAGCTGGCAAGTCATTTAGTGGCTCAAGTAATATCCAAGGGCTTGTGCTCAGCCTAAGTAGACTGAGCGCACTGGTTTGTATTAGCAGTTGCCCAAAGCTGGATAAAATTTGTTTGCAATAAAATCTGAGTTTCCAAAGATTTAGAACCACTGACAAGAGATAAACAGAAGTAGAGATAACATCCCTGCAAGGTCAGGAGATCCAGACAGAAGATGCAGCAACAGATCAGGTGCTGATCAGGTGTGGCTGTTACCTGTTCTCAGTCAGTTTCATGATGACGTTTCCTCGTGTGGAGAAGACTATGAAGGACATTCTCAGCATGGGGCTGAAAATTTAACACACAGTTGTTTCACATTAATGTGGGGAAAAAACTAAATAATAACACATCCAAAAACATGAATGACTAATCTTGCTTGTACCTAATAAACTTCTCTGCCAGCTGCTCCACAAAGGAATAAATCTCTAGCCAATGATTCTTCACGCTTCCAGATCTGAAAGACAACAAAAACACAAACTTATAAAGAAAAAATGTGATGTTTCCATTTTCAGCCTCAGTCAATGCAGTTTTATTTAAATGATCACATAGGAAGCACAGTAACATGTTAAGCATTGCATATTGTGAGTATGTTAGCATGTAGCTTAACCTGAAGTACTGCTGTATGTACATGGCCTCAGAGCTGCTAGCGTGGCTTTAGATTCTCATTTGCATTAAAGTAAACAATACCATGACTAAAATCTTAGTCACACCTTAATAAATTTATTAAATTCTGCCTTAGTTTCAGAAAACAAAAGACAAAATGTAATAACTGCAATTCCACTAACATTTATTAAAAATCGGGACGTCACTTTACATATTGATGTGATTCAAAGGTAGTGAAGGTTTTTAGGATATACTGTAGGTAAATATGTACAGAATGGAGAGAGATCTACTTCATGAACAACAGTAACTGTTTATCTCCTCCAAATTTCAGGACACCTCCTCAGTCATTCCACTACTTCAGTGGTGTCAGTGCTGAGAGATGCTGCTGAGCCTCCTACACGCTGCCGTGTACATAACAGTGTCCTTAATAAAGCCCAGTCCCAGGGGGCTGCTAATGGGGGCTAATTGCCACTAGTCCAGAGGGCTGATGTTAGACAGGGACAGATGTAGCAGTCTGCCTCTAGCAGGGACCATGTAGCAGGCAGCTGGCCCTTGTGTCCATGTGCAAGTGTGTACATATTATCTGTGTTTGTGTGTGTGTGTGTGTGTGTGACTGTGAGGGGGAACAGATGGTCCCAGCGAGTGCAGAGAGTTTAACAACAGGTTGGTGGTCTGCAGAGAGAAAAAAGGCTGTGACATGACCAACAAAGGGACCCATAAGTAACACTCAGCAGGGTGTAATTGTGAGTTTAAGGATCCAACATCAAACAGCTTATACTCAGCAAAGGCCAAGACTGTGTGTATGTGTAAACAGAGTGAAAGCCTGAACTGGTTAGATTCACGATAGCTCCTTTATACCTCCCCATTTAACCAATCACTTCCTGTTCCACTTATCATTTTCCTTAGAGCTGAGGGCACAGTCAAAGCCCTGTGCTAGAAAGAGCCTCCAGAACATGTTTCCCACTCTGAAAGAAAAAACTTAAGACTCACAGTTTTTGCTGATGCACAACAAAAGCCCAATTATATTCAGTCTCTTTTGGAATGAAATATTTAATGAGAACAATAAAAAAATAAAAATGTATCTGTCTAGAATCTACATGAGTGAATTTAATTGCATTTAAATACTGTAAGCAATGTACTATACCTTCAAAGTAGGTTCACGTACTGCATCTACTTTAATATCATTAAAAGGCTACAGCTCTAAATCACTGCAATCACCCAACAAATTTAGTAATTAGCCTTTCCCCTTTTACCTGTACTGTATTCCTAAGTTTGCATCAGACTCTCTTCTTGCTGACGTCTCCCCTCCAAACTATTTAGATTACTGAGGGTATCTCTGTTCACAACTCTGCCACAGATATTTGTGGGCAACCAGATACACAAGAAGAATGCAGTCTGATCTGTGGTGTAAGTCAGATGTGAGGATCCGATAGTAGTTTATTTATTCTCATTTTGTGACTACTGAGACACTTCTGGTGGCGTGCAAACACATTCTCTAGTCAGCACGTGTCATAATGTTCTGAAAAGTGACGCCACGACCAAACATGCGAGCAAGACAGGTAGCAAAGGGGTGAAAACCAATGTAGGCAATTAAAAACAGCCCTCATGTATGATTGTGCTGTTCTCTCTCACTCTCTATTAGATTTGGTCATTCTGTGGCATTTAAATCTGAAAAACAGCCAACAAGTTGGTGCCATCTCAGCAGAAAGATCAGCAGCTTCCCAAAGGCCTGCTGAAGCATGCAGGTCCAGACAGTCAAAGAAAAAGAGGCGTACCAGAGGCTTGGCCATGCATGACAGGCCACGCTCCCCAGGCTCCTCCTAAACTTTTTAAAGCAAAGGGTAAAGACTGAAGAGAGGCTAGACATTTGAAAGATCATCAAACGTTTTTGGAGGCAGACTGAAATGTCACTCTATGTTCACCACATAGGTTTTAGGTGGTGAGGAGTGAAAATGATGACATACAGCAAGAGGTTTTTAAAACATCCCTATATTCCCAAATGTTACACACAGATACCTCTTCCCCAAGTCAAACACAGTCTGTTCTTTTGACATTACAACCTAGCATTCCTCTACACAAACACAACAGCAAATTCAACAATACTGTATGAATTTCTGGTGCTGTTTTGACTCTTTCTCTCCTTTTCTCTCTGCTCACTGAGCACGCTTGGACAAGCCCACATGCAGAATCTCACTTTGCAGCTTGAGCCAAGATACGACAGAAACATCAATTATAATGTCTGCCTAGCACAGTCTGAGACTGCAGAGAGGTTGCACATGGATAATAACTGGCCCAGTACTGGTGCACGCTTACACAGTCCAAAAAGGTGCCAAAAACCTTCTCAATAAACACATAGGCTATTTCACTGAATAAAGCACTTATGTTTGCAGGGAGGTGGTCTAATGTCTATCCGTCTTGGATTACAAACTGTGCCTCTCTAAAGTCTATTGTCTTTCAGGTTATAACAGTGTTAAAATTGCATAAAGGCATTCAAAGACTAATCTGGGTTTAGTCTGAAAGTTGTCAATGTTAGAAATAGGTTCATGGACATCGTGGTGGCACATAGAGGTCTAAGAGACATAAGTGATGGCAAGGTTTCTGATTCAAATTGGGTTGGGGACCTTTGTTTGTCATTCTTGCCCTCATTTCCTGTCGACCCTTATCTGACTCCTTTCAAATGAAGACACATGAACATAAGAAAATTTTACCAAAAGAAATAAATAGGGTCATTTCTAAACAGACTGTACACTCGCCTTTATATGGTTTATAATGAATACTTTAAAAAGTGGTTGCAAGTTGTAATTATTAAATAAAACATTTTAGTTAAGATGATCTGCAGCCTTTATCTGGAATGTATCTGGATTGTCTATTGCAGGTCCCATAAGGAAGAGCTGACTAAAAGGCAAAGCTAATGCTATAAGCAAAGAGATTCATTCAGAATGTGGCAACTCAAATGTTGTTCTTACAAATGGATTTGCATGGAGCTATAAAGCATTTATGAAATGCTTATTGAGCAGTAATATCGTCATTAGTTACAACTTTTAAGCCCCTTGAAGTCATGTTTTAGAAAACGGTACATGTATATCTTTTTCTGTTGTGTTTATTCTATAAAAACATCAATATGATCAGATTTAGTGTCAGGAAACAAGTAAAGAATGGCATCTTCCTCTAGTCATTACTGGCCGATTCAGGACACAATGGAGACACGGTGGATGGAGAGAGGACTAATTTAAAGGCTCTCCAAACCATATAGGACCGCTGTGGGTCAGCTGCTGCAGCTGCGTCTGCAGGCGTCACCAGTCCGAAACTATCCTGCTCGCCCTGCCCACATCCCGTGGGTAAGGCTCAATCTGTTTTCCTCTTTGAACCGGACGAAAATAATTGCATACCCCCAGTAACTGAATCATTTCTCCTACCTCAAATACAATGGTGTATACATGTGCTCGACGACCCTCAAAGACTAAGCGTGAGGGCTGGGTTTGTTTTGAACGTATTCCCCTGTATAGTCATTCCATTAAACAAGAACCCGCTATCTTATTTAACACTTACTTTGTGATACAGAAAACAGTTTCATAAGACCGAGCTTCACTAGCTCGTATGTTAAGTTTCTCCAGTAACGTTACAACAACAGACACAGAGACTGAGTCCGGCTGATGCGCTCCGCGTTTCCAAACAACTGGGCGGTTGCATGGCAATGCGCAGCGATGAGAAAGTAACAAAGCTATAAATAATATCGGACACTCACTTATCCAGGACAAAATAGAGGTCGAAGGCGCCCTGACAAGACCTCTCCTCCTCCTGTTGCTCTCCCTGCAGCTCTCCTTTCACCGAGACATCGAGAAAGAAAATTCCCAGCAAAGCCAAGGCTAGAAACATGCGAGCCTGTTGTGTCCTCGCCATCTTTCCCGGTTACTGTTGACTACTCCAACACTGTGACAACTAAAGATCTTCACATTTTCCTCTATCATCTGTTTCTGAATCGATTGCGTGTGTGTGTCGCTTTGTTTGTCGCTGCTCTGTCCTCCTAAGTTGCATTCAGCCCACAGGAGTATTGTTCAGTTTAAGCCGGGCTCACCAAGCCTTTCTCTTACAGCTGAAGAAAAAAAATGCAGTGAAACAGAGCAGGATGGAGGAGAGGAGCGACACCCGAGGAGGAATACAAAACTCCACTTTTCTAGGGAGAAAAAAAAAATCCTGCCCCACAAATCATTAAAAGTACTGAGCAGGTATCTACCGTCTGGCACTGGGTTTCCCAAAATACGTTTATTTGAGGAAGGGAACAAAAGTGTCTTAGAGTGAGTCTGGCTTATTTTTCAGAAGACTATTCAGCATGTGTAGTTATTACACATGATTATTTAAACCGCAAAGTTTCTTCTTTTTTGCTTTATGAGTAGGACCTCATTATTTAGGATTGAATCAAATGAGCGGGACGATTTGCGTTGTTAAGGCTTTAAAGTCATATTTAATAGGCCTAAATCGATCATTTTGATCACTTTCCAATAACTCGGTAATGGAATATGTCTCAGAATTTGTAGTTTTAAAAAGTGAAATCCTCGCTGTCTCGAGCATTTCGCCCCCAGATGAAAAACAAGGGACCTGCAAAGACAAGCGCAGTTCAATAATGAACCTGAAGCAAATCGACCCATGCTCAGCTTTTCAAAGTGCTCCTGTGACTGCCAACACAATTCGAGAAAATGTTATCCAATATAAAATACAAATATGTTTCAGACTATGTGTAACTGCACTTTAACCAGACATTTAGGACCACAGCATCGAAGACTTTTACGTTGTTCCTCTTTCTCATTATAAAACATTGGCTCCATAACCAGAACATAACCCAAACCAAAGCTTGGATGCACAATCCATTAAATGCTCATTACAGAGGAGCATTTAGATTGTGAATAATGGCAGACCCAGACCTCCCTTCGTCATGTCATTTAATAGTGGCCAATTTTACAAATTCATATTTCCCACATTAGCCAGGACAGTTTCCACTCGTGTAACTCTCGTGTAGATAAACGCACTGTTTCCAGAAACGTGACCAACACATATATAGCGTGTATAGACTGAAGTGTATTCAGGATATTTGTTAAGCATACAGACAATAAGTTGTCAGACCTACAGTAGCTTCCTAAACACATTAGACGTATTCTGTTGGCATGAAAGGTTGTGCTCCACTGAACTCCTGGTTTAGTAGACTGAAAATGAACATGTTACTCTTGTTTACACATGATACAACTTATGTCCACGTCAGCCATCTACATTTACGCAGGCATACTAAAGTGTATGTTCATATTGTAAAGATCACAAAATGTGCATATGCCTATTGTCCAAATTACACTAATTATCACTGTGTTCTTCTCACAAACGCCTAGAAGTCATTTCTTCATTGAAAGGGTGTGCGTAACTGCACACGTGTTCATATCAATGCGCCACGCTTCAGTGCGCTCTCTGAAGAGGATAAGTGGGAGTGGAAGAGGAGAGGAGAGGGTCGACAGTATGTCGAAAGCTTCAGTCAGTCACTAAGAAACGAGAGGGCATCATTTCCGAGGTCGGCTGCACCTGCTGCAACTCTCCTGCCACACGGCACAAACATCCTCTTCCATGTCCGGAGGGTGAGTTTACAAGGATGCACGGTTTTTTTCTACAAGATGTTATTTGTAATGGGAAAACTGAAATTTTCAGTTGTACACCACATTATTATATTATGACGACAGTCAACATTTTAGAAAACAAAATCCCAAAGATCCGATACATTTCATTGACCAGAGAGGGAAAAATCGATAGTCTCGTAATCTTCGTGCGTTAATACTGCTCATAAATTAGGAAAAGCTATTGAACTTATCCTGCGTGCAGAGGAGCCAGTTGTGCACCACGGCACCGTGGCAGATGGAGAAACAAAAGGAGAAACCGACTGAAAAACGGAGACAAAGGACGTTAGAAATAATTTTGCCTCGACACCTTCTGCACTTGCGTCACAGTTGGGACGCCGATTTTTAGCAGGCAACCCATAAAATACCGTTGACAAATAACTATTACTCCAGTATTGCATGCAAGACCATTCAGCCTGGATTTAAGACTAAATCTAAATCGGCTCAGGGCAGGTCAGGCCACCAACACCAATATTTAATTTCATATATTCCAATTGTTCAGTCCACTTCTCGTGATTTTAGTCTAGTTATATTAAATTAGGCGTCGTGGTCTTATCTTTAACCTAGATTAATAATAACTGTAAACAATTTAAAAGGTCTGTGGCTAATCTAACCCTTGTATTTCATTACAGCTTAACCATGGATCACACTTTCCTGCCTCGATCTATCTGGACCGGTGACAGTAAATTCGTCCAGCATCCATCGGATCTTTACTCCAGCTTGATAGTTACTCGCAGCATCCCTGCAGGCACGTGCTTTGGTCCATGTGTGCTCCAAAACACTTTCTACGACACGGTCGCCTTCATAGCACAAAAATCCTGCGACAAGAGAGCGAAATCGTATGTGTTCAGGGTGAGTTATACAGTTTTATAAGGTGTTATGCAGGTCTGAGCTTTACTGGCATCTCTAAACAGCTTTGTTTTAGTTAGTTTGGGCCAAGCCCGGGGATTTCGTTACGCTTGCTTGTTCATTTTAACTCTGACTGAATGCACCCATTTGATTGATCTTATTCTTTATTTTATGTGGGTATATTTTTATGTTGTCCATCTGCATTTCTTGTTTCTCGTGGAACTGCTGTCTTGGGTATTATATTTAAAAAAAAAACGTACATTTAAATACGTAGATTAAAACATTAACAAAGTGCCACCTTATGGCAGAATTTTGCCAGATTAATAATTTAACTTTAATTGTTTTATGAATTCCAGGTTTGTAGGATAGAAAGACACGAAAATGTTTTGATGTGTCAATTTTCCCTGTCAACAGGTGGACCCTGAAGCCATGCGTAATTCTGCGCTGGTGGTGTCCTGGCTGCGGCTCGTGCAGGCTGCGCGCAATGCAGAGGAACAGAACACAGAGGCCTTTCTGAAAGCAGGTCAGCTGTATGTGCGAACCACCCGATACATCCGGCAGGAGGAAGAGCTGCTGGTGTGGTACGACCAGGAGTTGTCTCACCTACTGGGCTTCACAGATATGATCAGAGGATCACGTGAAGGTGAGGAGAATCTCTGTAATGGGAATTTAAAATCAGGATATTATGCCTTGCTCTGTCATGGTCTTATACAGAAGACCATCATTAGCAGCTTCTAATAAAAAAACAACAACCCATCAAGCCCTATATTTTATTTCAGGATGTACCAGTATGTCTGGATTTCGGAGGATGTAAATGTAAACCGTATTACACTCCAAAATATGTTATATATGCATTTATCTGTTAGTTCTCTGTACACAGTCACATTATGTGATTTTTGTCTCCTCTAGAACTCAAATGTGGCAAATGCAACGAGGTCTTCAAGTACCAGTATCCTTTCCTGGCCCACTGTCGATTCATGTGTTCTCAAGTAAAAAGTGACAGCTGGAGCCGCGAGGGTTACAGGCACAGGCACGTGGAAATTAAAAGGCAGCACCGAGTGACAGATTTCCATAACATCGCCAGAGACTTAGAACACAAGAAATCTGGCAGCAACGAGGACGCAGAGATTTCTCCCAAGAGAAAGAAATACGAGGAAACTCTTAATCCTAAAGCGCGGAAAACAGTTCTCTTAGAAAAAACTAATATTTCAAATGATGACAACATTTCACAGCTGATTAAGGGCTACGACCAGGCAGTAGGAGATTCATCTTCCTATGCGGGGAAACTGAAAGCTGATAAGATGAAACCGGATCATTTGGAATACAAGAATGATCTTTTTTATGAAGTGGGAGAAACCAAGGGGGCGTTTACGCACGACGGAGAGATGGACGCACGATCGGAAACAGGAGAGAGCTCTGGTTTGCACTCAAGCATCAACGGTGCATCTTCTGTGGTCCTGTCCAGTAGTCAGGGCGAACAGAAAAGCGCTTTCTGTAAACCAAGTAAAATAACGTCTTCTATTGGCCCCCAGGCGCATCTCAGCAGCGCTACAATAGCCCCCTCTAGCCGCCTAGAGGAGATGACTGATGCTTTTAACTCCAGGACTGTTATGGGATACAACAGCCTGATACCGTCCAACATCCTGAGCGGTGACTTACAAACCTTACCTTCTCCGGTTGCATTAAACAACGCCTACTGTTACGCACCGGAGCACTGGTCCAGGAACATTGGCGCCCAGATGCAGACCACATCTCTTACGATCCTTCCCCCGACTTTCACCTCATTTGGCCTGTCAGTGCAGAACTGGTGCGCCAAATGCAACCTGTCCTTTCGCATGACCTCTGACCTCGTTTTTCACATGCGCTCTCACCACAAGAAGGAGTTCGCAGTGGAATCCCAGGTGAGGAGGCGGAGGGAGGTGAAACTCACCTGCCCGATCTGCCACGAGTACTTCCGAGAGAGACACCACTTATCCAGACACATGACTTCTCATAACTGAGACAAGAAGGGACAAAAACTATGTATCCTCTAAGTGATTTAACACGTTTATGTCCCAGATTCACAGCAGGATTTTCTTTAACAATGAATGTAGGTGACTGTAGAATGGGCACACATGGCCATCACGGCCTGTCCACTAGGTGACAACAGAGGAACATGTAACCTAATCTCACAGCAGTTTGTTGTCTGTCCTTTACCCCTGCCTTTAGGTTGATGATTATTTGTGCCTTATGGAGCTCAAGGGGGACGAAAGACTGAGATCTCGAGGACAGTTCATGATTGTCATAAATTTCTCAGCGCACTTCTCTTATTTAACAGCTTTTTTTTTGCTCTGATTTATACCGAAGTGTTTGTACATTCGTTTTGAAATCGAAAATTATGAAACTCATACGTGTCGAGTATTTTGTTTCCCCTTCATGTTGGTTGAAATGAGAAAAAGTGCAGTTTCGGTTTGTTCCAACAGGCGGCGACAAAGGCCTACTTTGGTCTTTCTGCTCTCTGGAGTGTCAAACGCGTTTTCTTTGTGATTTGACTTGCTGCTGAATGATAACAAGATTCTGTAATTTATAGAAGAAGAAAAAAGAACAGCGCATGACCCAAGGGGGAAATTAACATCTATGGTTATCACTGCTCTCATGCACTACATGGCAAAATGAAACAAATAATAATAATAACCTGAGTGTTTGAGATGTTGCATCCACCATTTCAGCATACTCCAGTAGTTGAAGAAAAATTAGTTGAAATAAAGAAAGAATAAAAGGCTCCAGGCCGCCACTCAAAAAAATTAAAAGCGCTAGTTTGAGAAGTTTTATTATTCATCTACAAACCTGGATGGAGTCCACACAAGCCCACAGCTTTGAATCTGGCATTCCATGTTTTTCCACCAGTAACGAACATCTCTCGTCCCATTTGGGGTCAGGCTTCGAACAGATGGACATAAATAGCCATCTCTGTTGCAGGTAAATGAGGCGGGAAGAAGGCATGAAGTTCATGGGAAAGCCTCGGCCCTGTTCGGCCTCTTTGTAGTGTAAGGATGTAAACCCACCCACACTGCTGTTATCTACTTTTATGTGAGTAAAAGAGTTGCTGCTTGTCTCAGACTGATTAGACTATCACCAGGTGCATTCAGGGAGTTCATTAATACTTTTCTGGAAATAGTTCAGATTTCTTTTTTGGATATTTTGTTTGTGATGGCGATCCATTGGAGAGCATTATGTTTTATGAGTGACTTGAACCTGTACACAAACAATGACAGCTGAACACATACACACTACAAAAACTTGTCTGTAAGTATAAATATGTTACATCATGTTCATTAGTTAAGTGTTTTCCCTTTCTAAAGAAAAAAATATGATAATATAGTGGCCTGTATGATTAATGGGTGATTAAGAGGTGTCTATTAAAGCTACGTCCTAAAGAACAGAACTGTTAGTTCTCTGAGCTCAGTAACTGTGTGAGGAAAGAGCCAGTTCAGCCTGGACACAAAAAATCCTCTGTTGTCTAATAATGGCTGTATTGCTTTCCTTTAATTGAACAGTCATCATGTGGAAAAACAAATATTGCTCTTGGTTCCCTGCATGCCTCGTTTCGTTTTGGCTTTTAGGCACAGTGGGCTCTGAACAGGAGCCTAGACTACTGTGGTTTTCTCGGCTGGAACTGACCATTGTAAGTACTCTCCTGTGACTGTGATTACGGTTGACATGGGGTTCACTGTGGGTTTAAAAAGGATCAGGCAGGAAATGAGGAAAAAAATCAACCTGGATGTGTTCGTTACCATTGTCCCCGCCTGCTTTGAAGCTGAAAATCTATTCATGTAAACATGATTTATAACAACCCTAATTAAAGTCATCACCATTAATTAAGGTGTAGGGGCTGGGGGAAGGTTATATGCCATAAAGAGTGCATTTGTCAAATGGTTTGTAGTTGCAGAATATTTCCACTTGTTCAAAAGGGAGAAAACGGAATCATGCATTTGGTCTTCAGACATCTCTCCCTCTCTCTCTCCTCCTGTGTCAGCATCTGTCATCCTCAAACATGGATTAAACATAATCTTTTTTAGGGTTATGATACTATTTATCATCCAATCTTCACATTACAGTAAAACAGCATCACACTCTGCTGCAGGCCACACCGTCTCTTATACTGTATAACTTTCCTTTTGCAAAACACCAGTTTCATTTAACTCTTGTAATAACAAATGGTAAAATAGAGCATTATCAGGTTTAAAAGATAAGATTTACTGTTTAAAATAAACTCACTGTTTTAATATACAAAGCATTCACCTTCCATGGAAGTTGTAATGTTTTATGGTCTTGCAACATTGAATCGAAGGGGATGAAACCTTCCAGAGGGGGTTATTGGACATAGCAGTGCAGACGAGTGGGGTGGCACAATTTGTTTTTAGAGATGATTTTTTTTAGCTCAACTGTAGATATGCAAGCCAACACACTTAAAGCATGACTCTAAACCACAAGCACACTCATGATGTTGTTGCAAACACACTCAAGGCAGAACAACCACAGTAATGGGTTAATAATCAAAAGCTTCCCTCTCTCATTTCACTGTCAGTTTGACACACTGCTTAGACTCTTAGACTTACACGAGTCACCAGCTTCTTCCTCATAAAAGTGACAAGCAGTTGAGTTAAAGTGGTTGAGATAATCTGTTAGGGACAGGTCAAAAAACAAAGAGGTGCACCATGTTTTTAAGTTCAAGTGGCTGATGTCCTGTAGGTGTGTGTCTGCTTCCTCCATCAACCATGAATCCACTGCAGCTTCATTGAGCACATTATTTGCTGGACAACAGACACCAGAGCCTTTGGTGAAGGGTAATAACAGATTCAAAGGATTTTAGGAGAATGCTGACCATCTGTGAGTGGGACCTTCCTTGCCTTTGTACAAAGTTATTTTGGAACAGCGGTGCCCTTTTAGGTTTATTTTAACACACAAAAAGCTCCCCCATGAATCAAAGACTAACTCAAATGGCATGAAACAATAATATTCCAATGAGAGGACTGGATTAAATTACGGTTTTATTCTAACGTATAGAAGGCTACCTTTTCATAATTTAAACAATACACATGTACAAAACATCACCTTGTCTACAATATAACAATACTAGTAAGCGTGACAAATTATTCTTAACCAAGGTTCACATTCAAAATAGAAAAATATTTCTGGTTTCGTTATGACATTCTTGAAGTGTTATGAGGGGTAGTGGGTGAAAATAAATTCCAGATGCTCTCCACAGTTCACTGGATTCTTTCTTCTTTAGATGCACAGAGCAAGAATGTGCAATAACCTTCCTGTCTTGCAAACACATTAATGTTGTATGTATGTACAATGTGGCATGTGATTAGCTTCGAAGTAAAAACAGCTGTACAAAGTACACAAAAATGTAGAAATGTGTTTCATATACTTTGCATGTTGCTGCCCCATGACACATTGATAGTCTTTTATTTGTATCTTTTGTGTCCAAAAACAACTCATCGTGAGCTGTCTGAAAAATAAAAAGAAGAAGAAGAGGAAGAAAGAAACAGTAGGCGTACAATCTGAGATAACAGGAAAACATCCCTTTATGCTCCCGTTCATGAAATCCTCAATATAATCTCAACCACAGAATCAAAACAACTGGGCTCCTTAGACATGTGGAGCCCTGACTTTACATGTGCGCCTCTGCTCCTCTTGCCAAGTCAGATGCCAGACAGTGTGTCTCTTCAGGTCTGCTGCCGCAGGACAGAAGAGATGGAAGTGATTTCTCTACAGTCTGTGTTCCCCAAGGAATAACGACAGCCAAAGTGACTTTGTTTTGCAGCGTCAAGAAACCACTTATTAAACAGACGTGTGGTTATGTCTCCATTAGTCCTGTTTTCTATTTTTCTCAACATCCACCCTGTTTTGTCCTCCCCTTCCTATCTGCAGGAGCAGGACTGGACTGACATATTAGGGTAAACCTTGAGCACTGGGTTCCTGGATTCATCCTGGTAGAGCACAGCCAGAGGACTCATCGTTTCTGGGACACAGCAGGGCTCAGGAACCCCAGAGATGATCCCTACGGCTCGGACTATGCTCTGGATGGTGGCGTGGTTAGACGGTCTTGTCATCTGGGAGAGTGTAAGTTGAGGAGAGGTATGCAATAAGAAAACCAATAAAAAGGAGAGGAACAACATAATTTAGTTACTCAGTATAATTTGACCATGTCATTTTGGAACCAAGTGAGATAATATAGAATGACTTCAGTTTTTGTGCTCCTACCTTGGGCAGGGGAAATCCACATGTGCCAACACAGTAGTAGGCATCGAAGGCCTTGGGTGCTATGACCCACTCGCTCCAGCCAATGTCTGCAAAATCCACTCTGAGGTTCCTCCTGGAGCAGCCTCTATGTTGGGTGTCGCCCCATTGCCTCCTCCTGGCCTTACGCATTGTTTGTTCATCAAAACTCAGAACAGGTGACTGGTTGTCAGTGTTGCCTTTGTGCTTTTTTCCATTCTTTCCCTCATTTCTCCGATCATGCTTTCGTGCATCACTGAGAGTCAGCATGCGAATGTCTTTGAGTTGTTTCACAGATGAATCATCAGGTTTGAGGCCCTGTGAGGTTCTTTCTCCTCTGTTGAGATCCAGAGGTTCTTCTCTATCATGTGCTTCTCTTCTTTCCTCCACTCCTTCTTTCTTCTGGCTCTTTCTCTTCTTTTCCTTACTTCCTGATTTAGGCTTGGGTTTGAGTGCCAGGTACCATGAGCTCTCCCAGAGGTCATCCTTCCTATATACATCAGGACTGTATTCGACCTCAGGCAGCTCATTGTTCTGGATGGAGTTAGAGAGCAGTGCTGCCTCTCTTTTCTTGCGTTCTTTTGATTCTGGTGAAGAGTTTGGTTTGTGCAGGAGCTGAGTGGCCTGAGAGGAATGCAAGGGCTCTCCTTTCTCGTTGAACGGGTCATATCTCTGAAGGCTTGCAGCCACACTGTTGGGCTCTGCCAGGGCTTGGTCATTAGCGTACAGTAACAGGTAGGGCAGGCTGCCAGCGGGCAGTGCCTCCTCTGCTTTCCTCTGGTACAGCTGACCTAAGTCCATCTCCACTGATACCTTGAGATGACCCCTGTCCTGTGCTTCTTTTATGGGCTGGGTCACATCTTTCATCTGCCACACCCCTCTCCTGTGGGGGTGGAAGGTCACATTGCCTAAAAATGACCCTGCTGACCCAGATCTGACCTCTGACTTGGAGGAGACAGAGCGAAACAGTAGGCTGATGGACGGAGAAGGGAGCATGGCGGAGAAACGACAGGATGGGCTCTTGAACCGTTTACAGAACCAGGGTTTTTGATGAGGGCTCCGATCAAGCAGAAAGTGGAATGTGGCAGAGAGGATGACCTCTGAATCCTGGAGGGTGGTAAGGTTTAGTCGATACACCATTCTGTGACTGGAAGTGTCTGCAAGGACAATCAATTATTGTCAGTATAGTGGAAAGGTGAAACTCATAAATATGCTATCTGCTCAGTATGCTCAATGTTCATATTATCTATGTATTTGTGCTGTATAACCTTGTTTAAGTTCTCCCAAACAGTTCTGTCTCCCAAACACTCCCCACAGATTTAGTCTCTACACACACACCTACACACATCATACACACACAGACCCGGTCTCTATTGACACACACATAGTCTGTTTTCTACACAGCCCAACTGTCTGGGCCCAGCTGCCTATCTAGAAGATACCTATGAAGGCCACATACCTAAGACACATTTCTGATTGGTTCCAGCTAGTGGGGTGATAGTTGACCGATGTTATACAAAACCTGATTGTAACTTCTCTCCTTCGTCACGTACTGACCCTTAGCACTGAGTGTGTGATCTCTCGATCAAGACACTGGTATTGTCTTATGCTATTGTCTGATTTGTTTATTAAACTGCAGAAAGACTACCTGAGAACCTTGTATTGATTTCCACAACTGTCAGTCAGCTTAACTACTCTACAATGAAACTTGTGATTGATCCATAAAGTTGTGTTTTTAAAACCAAAACTTCTTCATAATGATTTACCACAGCTCCTTTGCATAAAAGATTAGACTGCACAGAAATGAAACATATTTTGTGATTTGATGATGAAAACACTAGCAACAAACAACTGGACCTTGTTTGAATGTTAAGCTTTTAAATATTATTTATTAATGACTTTGTTTTTACTAGAAAGTAAAGTCTGTAAGTAAATATTTTGATAAAAAAAACAATATATAGATTAGAATGGAATATGAAATGAAGGTATAAGATTGCACCCAAAGTGCTCATGCTGGTAAAATGTAAAATAAAAAGTGGGACTATTAAACACCTTATTTTGTCCTGTGTTACATGATGGGCTGTGTGACTGGTACAGGGCTGCATGCCTCCATAAGATTTCAGAAGGTGCTCCTAAGAGGAACCAGACTTGGGGGATCTGGCTGCCAGGGGTGGAAGGGGTGAGTAGAGAGTTACATATTCATGATGAATATTAACTTCAACAGCAGAGTTATTGTTCATTGTATAAGAGTACAACGGAAGTATGGGCTGACTCAAGAGATATACATTACCTCTGATTCAGCCTGCATATGGAAATGCTTACCCCAGTTTCTCTTAAAGCTTCCCCTTAAGCCTAATAGAGGCGACAGTCTACCCAGACACCAAGACCTGATCAACTGTTCAGATCTTACTTTGTTGTGAAAACTCTCTTACATCTCTCCTTGGATTACACTCACCCTCTTCTTAAAAATACATACATGTTATGTTTATGCTATCTGAGAACTGTGTGGGATATAAATGACTATGTGTTATGTTTCTATAAAAATAGCATCAGACAGAAGGGAACTGTATTTTAAGCCATTGACTCCAGGACCTGGAGTGACACACGTCCTGTAGCTACAGTAGCGACATAAAAGTCAGGACAACGACCCTTTGCATCGTAACTACCAATGAAGTCTTACTGTCTCGAAGCTGGGCGTTATTTGCAGGGAATCGCACGCATATTGCGCGTCTGTTTGCGGTAATTGATCAGACTACGCGCAAAATAGGCACAGCTGTTGCCAAAAACACAGTGTGCCCAAATTGTTCCAAAACTCCTTAAAAGCATTATTAGACCAAAGCATCCCTACCTAGAGCATCTGACCGAGCCATGCAGCCCCACTGAGCGCTTTTAACAACCATCCAAGGAAAGGATTAGGAAAGCTTTCTGATTAAACCTGACATTTATATTTTGCTTTTTGCGTCGTATTACTGGTGCAGTAGTGACACATAAGTTACAAAACGAAATCTGCATACATTTGAGCACTCTTGTGAGGAGACGATACCCATTCACTCTTCTGCACGCTGATCAATGTGTTCACGCACCTTGGCTGGCTCTGAAACTCCTGACAGTGTTTCCCTCTCTGAGGCGATTTTCTCTGTTGTACCTCTCGTACAGTTTGGACATATGCCTTGAGACCAGGTCATCTGAGAACGGGTCCAACGAGGACTGGACAAAGCCACTGTCCTGTGCGCTCCAGGAGCCCCCTTTCAGGTTCCTAACCGATGCAGCACCCAGGAAATAGCTCAGCATCAACAGGATCAGACGCAAGGAAGTCATAGTTAGAGTTGACATTTAAGTGCTGGGATAAAAACAAAATCTAAATCCAAAAGGCAAACACTGCAGAAAAAAATGCAGTTCAAAACCATCCAAAGCTGACTTTAAAGACGCGCCAAAACAATCCAAACTAAAAAGGCTGTGCGTAAGTGTTCCACCTCTCCTCTCGCTTGACGCTTTGCGCTCGATGAGCCGTCTCACTCCGCTGTGTCACACTATGTGGGATGTGGATGCTGAATGGTTTAATCCGGGCAACAGTTGCTGCTACTTAGACTTACGACCGTGTGACCGCCAGAGGCTTGAGGAGGGTATACTGGAGCCGATAGAGGTTGTGACGTACACTGCTGTCAGCCAACGAGGTCTCTGCAGAGCACACAGCCAGAGGTGGAGGTCGTGATGCTGCCCCACCTCTTCTCTCTGATAAGGATGATCTTGATGATGAGGTTGCATCGGTGGAATAATAACAACAATCCAATGGCGTTGGCAGGGTGTTGCAGAACAGAACTTAAACTAATTTGTTTAGCACTAGTCAGACAAAGCCACTGCAGAAACTCAGCAAACAGCTTTTTTTGTCCTTTGCGAAGTAATTCCATCTCACAATTTCCAGCTCACCACATTATTTCCAGTAACTGCTTCTGACATGCTCTCAGTCACACATAATAAGCACAGAAACACCTACAATAATAGTCTGACCAATCACCCAGGGGCTATTGTCAGTAGCAGTAGTACAGTGTGTATGAGAGTTTTGTAGTGAAAGGCCGTGGTTTAGCCGTGAGATATTCAAGGGACTTGCTGTGATTTTGTTCATGGCAAACAAAACATGACCTCTGCTGGGACTGCCGGTTTCAGCCTTGGCACAGTTTTGTTTCTGGTGTGTATGCATTTTTGTAAGTGTGTATGTGTACGAGTTGTTTCCAGTGTGTGTCTCTGGTGTCTGGAGCTCTGTACCAACAATGCTTGTTTTGTGGAAGTGGTGGTCTCCAGCAGAGAGGTTGTAACTAGCTGGGCCTCTCAGGCCACCCTCTGCCATTACACATAGCACACATACTCTGGAGATGTGTTTGAAAGTGTGTGTTTGTGTGTGTGTGTGGAGGAGCGTTACAGAGGAGATGGCTGATGTGGTGTACTCTGTGGTTTTGTTTTAGTACACAAACATATACATGTTCTGCTTTCCCATTCCATCTTGAGTTATACTTTGCTGAAAAACAAATATGATTAATTACTGTGGTTATTTATTTGAATGCAAGCGATGCTGTTTTCTATTTGGTTAAGTCTGTGAAAAAACACTGAGACATCCAGTGAGAATTTAGAGTGGCATTTGAAAATGACCACTCTGTAAATCCAAATCCCTGGCTATAAGAACAAACAGATATTGAAGGATTTATGGTTGTTTGTTGGTGATAACATTTAAAAACCAACCCGTAATTGCAGAACAGTCAGCTGGCATTCTCTGCAGTGTTGGGGAGTAGTGAGCTACATGTATTTTTTTGTGTAGTTAACTACTAAAAAAAAACAAACAATTTGGGGCCATAAAAGGAAAGGAATGCTTTTTAATTTTTATTTTACTGTGCTGCATGTGAGCAGCTTTTCAGCTCGGGCATGGGCATTTTCTCTGTGCCAGACGGAGCCACCTGCTGGGTAGGAGCGCTGAGAGACTGCTCATGTCCCCCGACAAGTAAAAAGATAGGCCTGTTATTTAGTGTTCAGCTCTGTCTAAAAAGGTGCAAGCTGAAGACTGTTACAGTTGTTAAGACTGTACAAGTCAGTGTTATAATTTTGTATCACATGCACACTGTTAATTCGATTTTTTCCCCCCACGAATTAGTTGGAACTATTTTTCTAAGTGGTTTTAATTAAGACATCTTTCTGGAGTAGCTTTGCTGTAGTTCAACATCTTCCCATGTGAAGTAGTTGGTAGCTTGCAAAGCTATGCTTTCAAAGTAGCTTCCCCAACACTGATTCTCTGCTATTAACAAAACATTCAAAGCCCCTTGTTATTTTGACAGCATAGGCATATCTCATTGCTGTTCTCTGAAGTATCACATAGAAATTAATAAGAAGACCTTTACATGGACCGAGCAGCTTGAATCATTATCTAATGAACATAATGCAAATTTTTATACTGAAATACCTCAAAACTTTGACCAAATCTAAAATATATGTGAGGAGGGAGAGAAGAAAAAGCAGGGAGAGTTAAGGTGATATGTGAAACCTGGACATTAGGGTCATAATAAATAGTCCTGGGGAGGAGATAGCCCAAAACCAGTTCAAGCTTGAGGATGACAACATGAAATGGCTTTGACCTCTAACCATGAATATGCAGGGTAGCGTGAGATTAATGTTTGGCATTATGTACAGTAATAGTCCTCATCCCTGTCACGAATGCGAAGACTAGATGTTATAAGATTAAAAAAATTCAGCAGCACTGAGAAACTACAAATATTTATCAAGAGGTCTCAACAAGACCTCCAGTCTAAGGTGTCATTTACATGTCATTTCAATACAACTAATATTTCTGTCTGAAACAAGTGTATTGAGAACCAGGTCAACACACAGAACTTGGGGATTTGTAGCCAAGGCAGCTGTCTCTCTGCTAGGTGAGTCAGGTATAAAGGGGCGGAGCCTAAGACAGGTAGTTAGGAATCTAGGTGTTAGCATGAGCAAGCTAACATGAGGGCATAGTAGAAGTTTGACTGGTTTGTTGGAATGAATACTAACACAGAGTGGCTTCTGATGTGGTGTGAAAGGAAACAAGTTATCTGGTGAGCTATTTTAAATGTTTGGTGGTTAACAGCAGCTGAAATGTTTGCTAGTGACTGGTAAAAGTTGGCCTGAATTAGCCTGAGTAAATGAAGGGTTGTGTTGGGTGTGTGGGTGCAGGCAAAGAGGGGGGAGGTTCTGGGACGATGGAACACACTGCTGGGCCTTCTCAGTGTCATGGCCCCAGCTCAACAAAGCACTAGTTGGTGAGAAGGGGCCCACTTGATGACCCTGTAGACTTGCCTTCACTCCTACACCCACACAGAACTCATGTTGGTGATAGTATAGTTACAAACTCACCCGAATTAATAGGCTTCTTTTGTTAGACAGTCTTGGTGGTGTAGCTCTTAGAGGTGACTGCCATTACAAGCCAGTGGGCAGAGCCACTGCTTAACCTGAACAAATACAATGCAGATACTGTATGTCAAGCCACATATCTGCTCTGTGCTTGGGTGAGATAGGGTTCAGAGATGTTTTGTGTCAAGGGTAAATTAGGTCTGGAAAATGATGTTGCTTATTGTGGGGCTCTGAAGATTTAGCCTGACACCCCCCTCTTTGGGGCCAAATATTGGGTAAACATCATTTCACTCATATACTGAGACTCTATATTAAGGCTCTCATGTTCTTTGGCACATTTAATTGTGTACTATTAACTGTTACTTGTGGAATTTTGCTTTTGGATCTTCAAAACCCCATGTGGAAGCATTTGAGCTCACACTGAGATCAGAATCACAAACCTTTTGAATACAGCTACATCAGATACACAAGAGCCACATTCAGGCCAAGTGTGGACTTGCAGAAATGTGATCTTTAGGATCTGAAATCACATTAAAGGGACAACTAAAACTGCAGCTACTACTGTAAAAGGTATGCAGCTGTAAAAGACATGAAAACAGAAATTACCAGATGAATGCAATGTGGATTGCTGCCTACATGACAGGACATGACTCAAGGCTTGAAAGATACAATATACGTAATTTGTCACTGCACAGTTTGAATGATGGTTTTATAATCCAGGTCTTCTGATATGTGATTACTGCTCACTGATCTCTGCAGCAGCACTGAACAGTGAAACCTGCTTTATCTGACTACTTGGCCGGCGTTACAGAGCCATGGTGTGTTATAGTTTGTTCAGCATGGAGGTCTCCTCACAGGGCCGTCCAAACCAAACAGGAGCTGTGTTTTGCTCTTTGTGGGGGTGTGAAGGAGTGTATGAGCAATTAACATGCCCTTGTGTGTATGTGTGGTGCAAAGACCGATGGTTGATTCTGGAAATGCTCTTAGTTTAACACCTTTGCATGGTATTGGGTAAGATTTCCTGCTTCCAGAGCTCAGCAGTGGGGGTCTGATAGATATTTGTGTGGGGCCACTGGGTTTTGGTACAGTATGCATCAACTGTTGGCCAGTCAGCTGTCAGTTACTGATGTTGGCATGGGTTGTCCAGAAAGAACAGTGCTGTGCAGGCATGTGGGACGGACTAACTGGCAATGGTCTGCGCTCAGAAAAATAAAGGCAATAGTTTGAATCAAGTGTTCACATACTGTGTACCCTCCAGGATGTTTACAGCAGTTGTAAGTGAATAATTAATGGGTGGACAAAACAGCAGGTCACTCTTTAACATACAAGTGGTTAATCAGGATTGTAGGAATTTAAGCAGGAAGTGTGCATGTCAGTGTAAAGGCTGTTTTCAGACTTTTAGGGTGCCGTTAGGAAGGCAAACGCATGCAGGCAAAATCTGCAGCCACATTTAAATGACTGCATTATTTTAGGAGTTTTCTGTTGGGTTTTCTTTCTTGACTTCAGATCACTCAAATAATGAATAAAACATTGTGAGTGTCCCAGTCCTGGTTCTGTCTCTGCCCCATGATGCCCTGAATCTGTTCCTTCTGGACTTGTGTAGAAGCTGTCATTCTCCATCTCTTCACCAGTTGGGCCTGGGTTTCCCCTCTGGCTTTGCCCTTTAGGCTCATCATACTTGCTGCCTGTATGTTGTTGTTTTCCTGAGTTAAATGCTCTTTAGGATTTACTTGTGTTTTGCGCTCTGTTTGTTTGCTGGAGTCTGCCTCTCACTATTTACTTGTGTTTTGCGCTCTGTTTGCTGGAGTCTGCCTCTCACTTGTTGCTCCCTTAGATTTTGCTGACTGATTGCTGTCTGGGTTTGGAGCCTCAGTTTCTGCTTGATGTTTTATACATGACTGTTACAGTGGGACATGTTTGTTTTTCTTCTTTGTGATTTTTACAGTAGATGAGAAGATTACATTAGAAATTTAGCTTACAAACATGACAGTGGTATTGATCCCTCTACTGTAAGTTTACTACTGAGTAGTTGCAAAATGTGTTTCATAATGTCTTTGTGTATCTAGACAGTTAATTTTTATTAGATGTACTGTTTCAGTGCTGCAGCCATCACAAATAAAATTTCATACTGAGGCAGAAGCAGAAATCTCACTGTCAGCAGATAAATCCAAATAATTTCTATGACTAGAGCTCACTAGTGGTAAAAGAGAAAATATAGTATGTTGACCTAATCCTTCAATCCCCTGCTTCAGCAATGAGACTGGTACAAGTGTTCAGTAAAACACAAACCGCCCACAACTGGGAATTCATAGTTATTGGCCAGATTCACACAGTCTGACCTA